AGACTAAGTAGTGGCGCTAACCAGTTGGGTTAATCAGTCGTAGCTTGTGATGGGTCGCACAGTCTCATTGTTCTCATTCATATATTGCGCAAGGCAGAGGAAGTTGAAACTGATCACTGCGTGATCACTGCGACCCAATGGGTAGTCTACAACCAACACATCAATCAAATGCTCCTAGTTGGTAAGCAGAAGATCAAGCTCAGATGGCCTGTTCTGAACCGAGTGGGCAAAGTGATGTGATTGTAAAGAGAAACAGTGGTTACGAGATCTTGTAGATCGATTCTGGATTGTTCCCCGATCGTGACAGGAGTTTCTACACAACATACTGCACCTTAACGTAGTTGCTAGATGGCAGTCGGTTTCGTGTGCAGAGTTATGGGGACGGTACACCAAGACAACAAGTCAATCGTCGGTACCTTCTAACTGCAACCGGCACCAAAAAGAGTCGGGGAAGTGCGAGTCTGAATCCTCCACGACTTTACACTGAAAGTCGCTTCGGCAATACAGGATTACGCCTCCACCTTTTGTGAGCCTGTCGTTCCGGAGCAGTGATATGCCAGGTAGCGAAACTTCAGCGTCCTTCATTCCCCTTGTGTAACTGCGTCTAGTTGATACCAACCACATCATATGACCCGGAAGCTTGGCGATCTTTCAGTTAGGCCAGTTTATTTAAAGGACCCTGAACAATGGTATACAAGCAGGCCAGTTTCTCGGTCTCTAGGAGGCCACACATGGGTGAAGGGGTCACGTGTGGGAGAATGCCGACCGATGGGAGGTCGACAGTTAAACGTCTTTTTTGATGGGAACAGAATGCTTCGTCTGAAACTTGATTCGGTTGTGGTGCGTTCCAATTTTCGCTTAGACGTACGTCAGAGTTATTTAAAACATCAACCAAGTTACGCTTCTGTATATTCGTGGGTGCGCTTGCTGCTTCAGGTGCTTTAATATTCGAGGTGCGCAAAGCTTCTGCGACCTTACACCCGATTTCAGAAGGAAGACGTTTCCGATTTCTCCGCCATCGATCCGAAACATCCATTGTTTTTGCTCTGAATAAACCCCAAGTTTTAGGATTCTAGGGCCGCATCCTTTATAATTAGTGTGAGAGGTATCCTGGTGCGCGATAACGCCACAATATTATCCAAAGGAAGTGTTTTACGAATGAACCGCCACTGTTCTAAATCGTGCTTTCCGATCTCTTGAAGATCGTTGGCAAGGTTGTTGGCATGCCATGTATGAAGATTGTGTTCAGGTGGTCTTGCTTACTGGGTCCCCCTTTGATTGTCGCGCGCTCCAAAGGACATTGGGATAGATGCGTATCTCACAGGATCCGTGTTTTAGAGAGTAATTTGTAATAAGCTTATGGACTTGATTTTGACACTCATCTGCGCGCACAGTGAGTTCCATTGGTCTTAATCGTACGATAACTTATCCCGAAATGTGATGGTGGTAGATTCAGGGACATTTGAGCATACAACAGTCCGGGCACTATTGTTGGATCTCTTTTACCGTTCATCTACAATGTAGGGTACCCGTTTGTCCTGAGTTGCTGACAAGTGTTGACAGTTTGCTATTCGTCCCTCTATTCGCGTTAACGGTGTTTACAACAGAAGAGGGCGCAACGGCGGCCTCTCGGTGGACCTTTGCAGTAATCCCTGCATTTGTAATTTATGTTCCGGGGGGGGGGGCTTTGTCTCGACAAGAGACATTTGACTTACAGGTACCGAGGGTTGGTGTTCGGCCGCTTCGTCAATTTTAATGCTAGATGTCAGAACTAGTAGAAGTTGCTTCACTAGATGCTTCGAGTGGTGCCCAATTTTCGTTACCATGAGTGCTGTTCGACTCTAGTAGGTAGGGTCAGTTATTCCCCGGCGTTCTAACAATTTTGGAGAAGACAACACAGATGGGGACGTGGCTGACTGCGGTTCCGGGGAAGCGGATTGTGCAGCGTTCCGTTGCTTAGAAGTCGCTACGCTTCCGTGGTGCATACTCGCTTCCATTAAAGTAATCTCGTTTATCATCTGCTCGGCTTTTGCGGTTAACCGGTCGCACTTCTGAACTAGGATAAGCAAGCAGTTGACGAGTGGAATGGTGGAGCACGCAGTACAGAACCAAAGTGCGTCTTGGGAGCTATTTCGCTCTCGTACCTGTTGTTGGGACACATTTGCACATTTCGGATGTTACCATTCCACGCTTTGCGAGCAAGCCAGACCGATGTTTAACTACTCGATAACATTCTCCTAACCTGCAAACGCCTTTCGCTTGGAGCCTTTTCGGATTCGCATTTCTGCCAGTCAACGTGGTGTCTTTACCTGACCCAGTGGGTTGGTAGCGTTCTGTACTTTCCCAGCTTTGAGAGCGGCTCACATCGGTCAGGCGAGCGTGGCGTTTGCAAGGTCAAATGAGCGGTTGGCGTGATCGCGCGGTCCGTGTGATGGCTGACAAGGTCACAAGGCATGGCGAGTGACTGGAACCTGCTAACAGCGCCGAACACAGATTTAGAGATCACAAATTCTTTCACAGCTGTGTTGAGAAACGCCGGATCGGAACAAGCTTAGGCATTTCGGTCTGCCTTGAGAATTCTGTATCAAATAGTGTCACACAGTAAGGCAATCGGCTCAATGTGATTGAGTTATCCGCTTGCGCCTAATCACGGATGCCAGTGAAAACGGTTAGTGATGGCACGGACTCTAATCGTGGAGGACATTTCCACGTATGATGGATCACTGTGTAGAGTTGGTAAATACGGTTCAAATGAGCGTACAGTGACAACGTTGCGAGGAGATGGAGAGAGGATAGAGAGGAATAATCCAAAGGAAGCAGGAGCACGCACGTCACGCGTGTGTGAATATGGATGCCGAAGGCCACCAGCTCGACTTGGAACACCACAAGATCCTCGGAAGAGCCACAATCTGGCAAGCACGTGAGTCTATTGAAGCCTGGTATTCAAAGCAGAAGTCGATCAATAAGCACTTAGATCTCGAAGCGACCTACGAAGCGCTGCGAAACAGGACGTTAAAGCTGCGCTGATGATGTTGCCCAGTCTGGAAACGAGACGTCTGAAAAACAATCATTCAGCTCAGAGGGCAGTGCAAAACCCAAATCCACATCCCGAACTACGTATATTCTCTACTATTCCAATCTATTTCTGAACCAGAGATGCGTGAGCTGGCGAGTCCCAGTAAAATGAAACATTTGTTTGGTACCTTTCTTGAATGAAGATGAGAAATCTGACTGGGTATGCTTTATAAATGCACTAAAATCCTCCAGCAGGTGTAATCTCCTAGATTTTGTCCATTTCCACCCGCCGGTATTCATCTGTGAGCTTCGGTTAAACCTGTCATGCTGAAGCTAAAGTCGTGTATCACAGTGTTCAGCTTCGCAAGCATATCTGACATCCCATTGATTGCACACGGCTTACTCGTTCAGTAGATTCCTCGTGTTCTGCGCTGTTCAACACAGGTGAAAATAACTGATCCAGATCACCAGGTTAGAAATATTTGAATTTAGTGTGTGCATTGTAATCACATAGAACACAAAATATTACTACAAGCTCGGGTTGATCTACACTAGAGTGTTTTACTTTTGATTGCCGAACTTGGCGTGCTTCTCGTTTGCAATTGATTGGCGGTATATCATTGTAACAACACTCATGATTGCTTAATTGCAATAGTATAAAACCTAGCCAAATCCGAACTTTTTCTGAGAAAATCTGATACACTAGACTAGGAAAACCATCAAGAATGGATAACATGCGTTCAGCCATTCGTAGTAGACCTATAATCCAAATTTATATCATCGGAAATTTAATTAAAAGGCTCTTAAATTGATTTGAATTAAAACAACCTCACCCATCAAGCGGAACATTTAGTTTATTTGCCTTACTATAGAGCAGTTGCAGGATTCGTGGTGTTTTAAAAGGGTACGCTACAACTGCTCTCAGTCAAACAGCCACTGTACATCCAGGAAAGCATTAGGCGGCTGTTTCGTTTTGTTGTGTGTGTTGCGTCAGTATGGCGCATCCGCTGGATCTGAACTTTTGATCATTCTTGTATGAGTCAGTCACATTAACCTGTGTGGCATGAGCGACGGAAATGGTTCACAATGGCTGAAATCCAACTGTAAAATCCAGTGTCACATCCTCCACGTTCATGTAGGTATAGAGAACAGGCCTGACCAATCGGGGTACTGTGGTGAACTAAAGGCAGATACTACTACGTCCTCCATCAGAGTAGAAAAGTGATGGGAAGCCCAAAGAGCAGTCATAATGAATCCACGAAAGGAAAGGAACACTTGGGAACAGCCGAAGTATGCATTGTATACCGCCTAACCACCAAAAGCAGAAGCAACGCGCGCCATGCATCCTCCGACAGAGAGTGCCTTGATTAGCAGGTTTCATTAGTCAGAACCGATGTATCTAGTAACACTGCTAACTATACTGAACAATTCAGTCCGCACCTCGGATTCTTGCACTACTCGCTTGACAAGCCGTTGCCAGTTGTGTTTCTTAGTTGCTGAGACCAACATTGATTAGTAATCTTAAGGGATTTCTAACAACCTAACCTGGCCTGTGAATCAGATGCGGAGTATTGTGTTATCGACTTAAAAGTTTCATTCATCGTATCTCCATGTGACGGCAGATGCTACAATGTGATTTGAACGAGGCCACAGTTAATCGAGGACGAGAAATCCACTCTATCGGGCAACGAGAGTTGGAATAATATCAGTATCAAAATTATACGCCCATTGGCGCATCACACACATGAAAAATCAACAAACTTACCAAGCAACGGAGACGATAAATGTGATGATTCTTCCAAGTTATTAAAACCTGTTGCACTTGTGATCATATTTGCCTATTACAAGCTTAGAGGGAAGCAGCTATCACTACATGCAACACTCATACCACTGCTATTATATGGAATTAATGCTTTTATTTTCTTGCACCAGTTTGACCTTTGTTGTCTTACCCCCTGTCTATTTTTATCCGGCCAACTTCAAAGTGCTGCGATCATGGTGACTTACTTCACTGTCAAAACAATATTTATCGCAGTGCTGATCACTTACGGGATCCTGCAAGGTATTGGACTTGGTTCCGGTTACTCAGTACTGGTCTCTGTTGCTGCTCAAGTAGGTTAAAATGTGTCTATTTTTGTAAAACTTGTGTCGCTATGATATTAGTATGCACATGTGGAAAGCTGGCATGGAATGTTTTATCGAATGCAATGGCGTGGTAGAAGGCTATACCCAAAGAGAAGTAATTCTTAATGGACCGTTTTTACAACTCAGTCAAGGGTATTAGGTTGCTGTTTGCCGGTACAGTGATGTGGTCTTTAAGGTAAGGATAACTAATAGCACTACATACATTGAGACGTGTGTACCTATATATGGACGACTGTCACTATTTTCCTTATTGCTATCAGTCAGTATTTGCCATTATAGAACTCTCCTTGTACCCAGATATTCTGCACTGATAATTTTTGTATTTCGCAAGTCAACTCTATGTATACGCATCGTATTTCGTAAAGCACCATGGTAGGGATGCAACTAAACAATCAGGTTATCGGGTTTTCTGCTTACCGATAAAGTATGCAATGAGGCTAGCAGTGTAAAAGGAATAGCCTAGTCTGGTGAGGAAAAACAGTTTAGGTAATGTGTGATGCAACCCCCATGAGAGTATGGACTTTCATCTGTGTGTAATTATAACTCGGAACTATATTATACCAGAACCACTTCAGGATATAACGCTTGACGAAACCTACTACTTAACATGGAAACAAAACAATTACCGTCCGTATTACTTACAGAGCATTTGCCATGGTTCCATAGGATGCACAGTACTGCATTCAGGCAGACCAGTGAGTGTTTGTAGGTCTTAGTCGGCTCAACTCAACTAAACCACCATGCATATCGCGCCAAAATTCAACGGTTTTTAGTGTAGCGCGCCAACTAACTTGGATAATTATACAAAAATGTGCCAAGAGAGTGGATGGATGGGCAGGCCATCCATGCGTCGCATTCTTGAAACGGTTTTGGAAGACATCATTCTTACCAGCGACATAAGGAAAGCTAAAAGCAGGACTCTCACAGTAAAACGTTTCACACTTTATATCGCTCACCAAGTTTCTCTCATTTGACCTCAATTCACTCCATGCTCACCGTATCACATGGGGTTGTTCAAAGGAGTGTGTGCATGAGGGAAGACGGATAGTGCATTTCATCTGGCAATCCGACGTTTGATGACCGGGAAACAACAACCTTAACATTTCTACATGTTCACATTCCAACTCGCGGTCAGGGAAATCTGAATCTGACAACCGATAACGTTAAAAGAGCAACATTACATATGACACCATTCTTTAATTGGTACGCAGAGAATTGTATCCATGTCAACAAACATCCAAACTGAAAGAAGTTACCAATGTATTAGGTACAGAAAAGTACACCTACTGCTCTTTGTTTTGTATGGGTATCGCTTAGCGAACCATATTAACCGAGGCATCAGGTTTGCTCAAACGCAAACGTATACGATTGCTTACATGTAACACTTCCGAACTACATAACGGATTTTTTCTTATAGGCGCACTGATGCGATTTAAGTAAAACCATACAGGGAAAGCCCCAGAGCAACATGGCTTCCACCAAAGTCGTTCGTGTTTTACCAGCCTGTTAGTTGTAAACAGTAGCTAGACAGAAGCAGTTGACAGTGAAGCAGGAGGCAATACCAGCTACCTGGAATTCTCAAAAGCGTTTGATAGCTTAGATCACCAAATTCCCATCCACAGGCTTCGAAACTATGGCTTTGAGGACATAATTTTGGGCGGTACAGGCAATTTTATCTGTGATCCTCCGTTGGTGATGATAGTTCAGGAATCCGTTTTCAACGCAACTGACGTGAAGTGCGGTTCACTACAAGTCACGGTGCTAGACCCGTACCCATACTTAGTTTTCCTAAACAAACTAACGGGATCAATAATCGAAGCAAGGACACCACTATATACGACTGACTGTGGTGATCTTACTTAATCTGAAAGCATCAAGACTCTGCTGGTCAAGCCATTTCGTGGCCTTGCCTATCCGTGAACGGAGTACCACTAAAATGACGATCTATCCCTAAAGGCATAAAACTGTCATGTCTGAATCACTGGATTTGACACACATGAATTACTTTCAACCCAGCCAAATATGGTTAGTGTCCTACTTTTCAACGGTCGGCACTACATTACACCCAAAACACATAGCCCCGACTCACTATTGAGATCAGAGAAACTTTCCTGTATGTACACCAGCGCACAGGGTCTCTTGAACAAGGTAGCTGAACTGCGGCTACGTCAATCATCATAGACTCGGACCTTATATTCGCAACTGAGGATTGGTTGCTCTCAGAAATTACTGACGCCGAAGTCAGGATACCTGATAAGTCCATTCTTCTAAACAAGCAACGCAACCAGAGAGGTGGGGTCCTTTAAAAATACCGCAGTTATCTGCAGTGTGAACTGGCGGCCGATCGCGTAACGCTAATTATAGACCCACTGTAGTGCAGTCTGAGACTGGGACGCAACAATGCTTGCCTTGTGCCAGTTGTTAAAGCCCCCCCCCCCACAATGTCCACCACAGAGATGAACTGCTTCCTGACGTTAGCCCTAAGGATGATCCTGCGACGATGATGCAGCCATGTTTTCATTTCAGGTGACTTCAATGATTACGAGCTGGAAGTTCTGGCATTCCCTAGCGAGCAATTCAAGGCTGATCTGCAAGAGCTAATCACAAGCATTTCGCATTTCAGCCATGTTAATTCACTCACCCGATTCAGAGTGGGAAATAAACCATGTGTACTTGATATAGTCTTCACAGAAAACCAGTTAATGCTCGAGCTGCCAACGACGGAATGCGTACTGGGACTGAGTGATCAAGTAACAATACTTTACCACTTTATGAGTTGTACGGAGTATCCACAAGAACATACTGATTAGTTTCGGACAATCACACACTAAGCTATACTAACAAGTTTTCTTGGCGAGGTCATCTGAGAGTTTTCTGAAGACGTGTCCGGGGATACTGTGTGGAAAGTGCTTCTTGGCAAAATCAGTGATTTGATTAAATTCGCATCGGAAACGGACCGTTCCGTGCTGTAACAGAACCTCCACAAAATCGGAGCAAAACCCGGAAATGCAAAGGTGTCCGAGACACGGCGGTACTCGTGTACTGAGCGAACCCTAGCCCTGACAAGTGGGGCCAATATGTGGTACAGCGTGATCAATCTGCCGTATTCGTCTGGGAGAACAAACTAGTAGAACAGCAGTTTCTAGAAGTTCGTTTGTGTAATAACAACAAGCTTCTGTAGAGACATCTGAACAGCCTCTGAAAAGTGAAACGCGGTGTTCCTCTACTCATCTCAGCAAGTGGGTGTGCTTGAAATGCCAAAGATGCAGTTAATATTCTCCGGCTACAACATGTTCCAATATCCCCAAGCATCACCAGCATATGTTACATACTTGTCCCATTCGCCCGGACGTCGATATTTACGCACGTCAATTTTACTTCAGCGCTAGTTATGAGGAACTTACTACTAGGGATGCGCACCCCTGGTTACCTCGGGGTTGATAACCTTTAATGAAAACACTGCAGGTGGCAGCAAAGAGTACAGCTGAGCCATTAAACCAATTTATCCAACAATTCCTGGAAGAACAGCAGCACATGAACATGTGGAAGCAGGGTAAGGGTGATTCTTATCCCACTGTTCTCAAAGGTTATGAAGTCCATCATGGTTGGGGCTCTGATAGGCCATATAGAAACGTCTAAAATCATAGCGCCGGAGCAACACGGATTCCGCCAGCATCGGTCAGGCACTAACAATCCGTTAATTGCGCACCACAGTTGTACCAAAACACTAGATGGTAGAGCTGGAACTGACGTTATCTATCTCGACTTTTCCAAAGACTTTGATCGATGTGATCACAGTATATTTTTCGAAAAGCTGTTAACATGTAGAATGGATAACTCTGTTTTTGGAAGAATCAGAACATTCTTTTTTAGCAGGAGCTTCAGCTTCTGGTTCGGGGCTCATTTTGTCATCATTTTGCTGTAGAGTATGGTGCTCCACCAAGGTCATTGTTGGGGGCGCGCTAACTCTAGCTCCTCACCGACAGCGTTGTGGCGCCATCGAGTTACATTTCTTGCATTTTGCCGATGATATTGAGGTATGGCGGGGGATGGGTAGTCAGAAACTCACGAATAGTCAAAGGCGTATAAATTCCGTTCAAGGTGGAGAAGCGCAACAATATACATGTACACCACAAGTCCATCAAAGCAGATTTACTTAGAGGTCACAACTTGAAAACCACCTCGCAAGGTCGCGAACTTCGGGTGGTGATGGAAGATCAACTCGACAGTTTGGCGCAGTCAGAGAAGGCTTCCGAAACAGAAAGTCAACTTGTTGGTCTTTTGCAGATGACATTCAGAGCGTTTTGACCCGTCCATCCTCCCCCAAATGCTCAGTATATACGCGAGGCCACATATAGAGCAGACGTTTCAAGCATGGCATCTTTGGCTAAAGCGGGATCTGGTTACATGAAGACCCCACGACGAAAGGCAACCAAAATTGTTCCTCACGCCATACCAAATGCACTGGATACCCTAGGAGTGTATAGCGGAAGATATCGCCTTCTGCAGCTTGACCTGCTTCCAGTGTATCAGATCTTGTAAACTTGTCACGCTTGCGACTACCTCCTGAAACTGAGCCGCAACCCAAAATTGTGCGGTCACCAAATGAAATTGACCACCCAATATATTCGATTGGAATGCCGCCGGAATAATTATTTTCTTTGAATTTATCAATTCGTTTGTAACTGCGAAGTAGTTACATTGGCAGAACAGATGGATCCTTGGGTAAGTGCATTGGAGGTCATATCCTAAAAGGGATTGCTAAACTATCGACACAACAACCAGCCGAACAACAAAAGGTATCTAAGCTGCCAGCATCATCTATCTTCAGACATTCAATCGAAACAGGCCATCAGGTTGACTCTGGGTCAAGATTTACAGTTATCTATCGAAATGAAAATCCCAACGTTTTGAGGTTTGCCGAAGCTGTTGCTCATAATCGGCATTGCCCCATCCTTTGTGTACAG